CTCAGTGGTAGAGCACTTGCCTAGCATGTGTGAGGCACTGGGTTCGATTCTCAGCACCACATATAAATAAATACAATAAAGGCCATGTGAAACAACTAAAAAATATTTTTTTTAAAAAATGAAACAAGGAAGGTCATTATATAATGATAAAGGGGGTAATTCTGCAAGAGGAAATATAATTCGAAATATATTTGCACCCAATATTGGAGCATCAGTATACATAAAGCAAATCTTATAGATCTAAAGTAAGAGGTAGACTCCTATACAAGAGGACAGATCATCCAAACATAAATTCAACAAAGAAACAACAGAGTTAAATCATATCCTTGACCAGATAAATGAATCCACCAGATATACAGAGAACATTCCATACAACTACAGAATACGTGTTCTCATCAGCATGTGGAACATTCTCCAGCATAGGCCAGATGACAGGTCACCAAAAAAAGTCTCAACAGGTTTTAAAAAGCTGAAATCATACTGAGCATCTTTTCATACAATGCAATAAAACCAGAATTCAATAATATGAAAAACTGGAAACTACACAAATACATAGATATTGAACAATTTACTCTTGAACAACCAATGAATCAATGAAGAAACCAAGAGAGATGGTTCTTTGAAACAAATGAAAATGGTAATGCAACATACCAGAATCTGTGGGATACAGGAAAGTTTACAGCAATCAAAACCTACATGAAAAAGCAGAAATATCTCAAATAGCCTATTACTGTACCTCAAGTAACTACAAAGTAAGAAAAATAATTAGAAGAAATAAAAAAGATCAGAACAGACATAAAAGAAAGAGACTAAAACAATTATAATCAACAAAACAGAGAACTGGTTCTTTCAAAAAAAGTAAATAAATAAATAAACAAAATTGACAAACCCTTAGCGAGACTAAGAGAGAAGACTAAGTAAAATCAGAGATGAATGGAAACATTATACATGCTATCACACAAATACAAATGACTATTTGTTGATCTACAATCAACAAAACAGAGAACTGGTTCTTTCAAAAAAAGTAAATAAATAAACAAAATTGACAATCCCTTAGCTAGACTAAGAAAGAGAGAAGACTAAGTAAAATCAGAGATAAAATGGAAACATTACAAATGCTATCACACAAATACAAAGGACTATTTGAGACTGTTATGAAAACCATACACCAACAAATTTGAAAACCTATAAAAATGCACAAATTCCTAGACATGTACACTTTACCAAGGCTAAATCATGAAGAAATAGAAAATTTGAGATGGGCATGGTGGTTCCCAGAAAGTTGGGAGGCTGAGGTAGGAGGATCACAAGTTTGAGGCCAGCCTCAGCACCTTAGCAATACCCTAAACAACTTAAGAAGACCCTGTTTCAAAATTAAAAATTAAAAAGACTAAGATGTGGCTCAGTGGTAAAATGTCCTGGGCTCAATGTCCTCAGTCAAGAAAAGAAGGAAACTTGAAGAGACAAATAATGAGTTACAAGATTCAATCAGTTAAAAAAAAAAAAAAAGTCTCCCATCAAAGTAAAGTCCAGAACCAGACAGCTTCATGGCTAGTTCTACCAAACATTTAAAGAAAAACTAATACCAATTCTCCTAAAATTATTCCAAAAAACTGAAGAGTAGTGAATTCTTTCAAACATATTCTATGAGGCCAGCATTACCCAATACCAAAACCAGACAAGAACACAAGAAAGAAAGAAATGAACTATAGTCCAATATACTTGATGAACACAGATGTAAAAATCCTGAACAAAATATTAGTAAACTGGGTTGGGGTCGTAGGTCAGTGGGAGAGCGCTTGCCTAGCACGTGTGAGGCACTGGGTTCAATTCTCACCCCCATTTAAAAAAAAAGTAGTAAACTGATCCAACAGCACATCAAAAACATTACTCACATTAATTTCACCTTTATATATATTTATAAATCACTACTTTAAAAAAAAATCCATAAATAGAAGGAAGACCAGTAGAGTAGAAGGCAACGAAAAGGGGGAGTGAGGAAGGAAAGAGGAAATGCTGGGGACTACTGAAATGGAGGGAATTATATTCTATACATGCATGATTATGTCAAAATAAATCCCAATATTATGTATAATTACAATGCACTAATAAAAAAAACACATAACAGATTATTCACCATCATAAAGTGGGATTCACACCAGGGATGCAAGGATGGCTCAACATATACATATCAATAAGTGTGATACAACACATTAACAGAATGATCACAAAAACCAGATGAAAAATATATCTGCACTCAATATTGGAGCGTCTATGTATGTAATAGATTTCAACAGATGTATAAAAGGCATTTGAAAAATATTAGCATCCCTTCATGATAAAAACACTGAATAAATTAGGCATATAAGGACAGAATAAAGGCCATATATAGTAACCTGACAGATAATTATATTGAATGGGGAAAAGCTGAAAGTCTTCTCTTTAAGACATGGAACAAAATAAGAATGCCCAGTTTCACCATTACCATTTTTATTCAACATGGTAGGAGAAGTCCTAGTAAGAGCATCAGGCAAGAGAAAAAAAGGGCATCCAAATTGGAAAAGAAGTCAAATTGTCATTGTTTGCAGATTATACAATCTTATATTTAAAATAATAATAATAATAATAATCCACACAAAAAAGAAAATATTGGAATAAGCAAATGTAGCCAACTTGCAGGATACAAAGTCAATATACAAATATCAGTAGCCAATAGCAAATTATCTGAACACTAGAAATCAAGAAAGCAATCCCATTTGCAATTAGCTATAAAAAATAAAATACCTAGGAATAATTCAAAGAGGTGAAAGATCTTTACAACGAAGAGCATAATCTCATCAAGCATGGTGGTATAAGCCTGTAATCCCAGCTACTTGGCTGAGACAGAATTGCAAATTCAAGGCCAACCTGGGAAACTCAGTGAGACCCTATCTTAAAATAAAGCAGAAAGGGCTTGGAATGTAGCTCAGTAGTACAGCATTTGCCTAGCATGTGCTAGGCCCTCGATTTGACCCCCAGTACTGCTCTCTGGGTTTAGACCTAGGTCATGCAACAAGGCTAAACACAGCAAGAAGGTTAGAATTGTTGGTAAATAAGGGATACACTATGATGGCTCCTTTCAGAAAATGGTGAAAAAGAAACTGAAAATCAGCCAGCACACGAAATTCAATTGTTTCTTCTGGGGCAAAACCAGGATGAAGAGAAGAGCTGTAGGCACCTGGCACTGTGGTTCCTGGACCTACAACACCACTTATGCCATCACTGTCAAGTTAGCCATCAAAAAGACTGAAGAAACTGAAAGACCAGTAGAAGCTCTGTCATTTGAGACATCCCTGGCCTATAATAAGTGGGTTAATTTATGTTAAAAGAGAGCGAGAGAGAAAATGAAAAGTATAAAACATTGATATAAGAAAGTGAAGAGTATACACAGAAAGCCCATGGATTGGGAGAATCAATACTGTTAAAATGTTCACACTATCCGAAGTGATATATAGATTCAATGCAATCTCTATCAAAATATCAATGACATTCTTCACAGAACTTTAAAAAATACTAAAATTTGTATTAAAAATAATAATAAAATCATCAAAGTAACCTTGAGCAAAAAGAGCAAAGCAGGAAGCATTCTACTACTAACTTCAAAATACACTACCAACTTGTAATCATCAAAACAGAATAGTACTGGCATAAAAACAGACATATAGACCAATGAAACAGAAGAGCCTAGAAGTAAACCCACACATGTATGGCCTACTGATTTTCAGCAAAAGTGCTACAAACATGCATTGAAGAAAGGACAGTCTTTTTAATCAATGGTGCTGTGAAAACTGAGTGTACATATGCAGAAGAATGAAACTAGACCCCTATTGCTCACCAACTCAGAATGGGTTAAAGACTTAAATGTAAGACCTGAAACCATGAAACCACTAGAAGAAAACAGGGAAATGCTTTAGGACATTGGAATGGGCATCAGTTTTTAGGATAAGACTTGAAAAGCACAAGAAACAAAAGCAAATGTAGAAAAGTGGCAATATATCCAACTAAAAATCTTCTGCCCAGCAAAGAAAACAATCAACAGACCATAAAGACAACCTACAGAAGAGTAAAAACTATTTGCAAATTATACTTTGATAAGGAGTTGATGTCCAGAATACATAAGGAACGTCCCCAAACACAATAGCAATAAACCAGATAGCCCAATCAAAAAATAGGCAACATACCCAAGTAGATGTTTCTCAAAAGATATACATCTACAAATTCAATGCAATCTCTGTCAAAATATCAATGACATTGTTTTTCATATATCAGGTATATGAAAAAAATGCTCAATACCACTAATCATCAGGGAAATACAAATCAAAACCAAAATGAGGTATCATCTCATACCTGTTAGAAAGGTTAAAGATAAGTGCTGGTCAGGGAAATACAAATCAAAACCAAAATGAGGTATCATCTCATACCTGTTAGAAAGGTTAAAGATAAGTGCTGGTAAGAATGTGAAGAAAAGGGAACCCTTGTACAGTTGGTGGGAATTTAAATTAGTATAGCCTTTATGGAAAATGATATGGAGGTTCCTCAAAAAATTAAAAATAGAACTGCTACATGATTTAGCAATCTCACTACTGGATATACATCCAAAAGGAAATCAATAAGTCAAAGAGATACCTGCTCTCCCATGTCTATTAAAGCACTGTTCGTAACTGCCAAGAAATGGAAACAACCTAAGTATCCATCAACTGATAAGAAAAGAAAATGTGGCACATATACACAACAGAATACTATTCATCCATAAAAAAAGAATGACATCTGTCACTTGTAACAACATGGATAAAACTAAAGATTATTAAGTAAAATAAGCCAGACATGGAAGATAGAATGATGGTCACCAAAGGCTGGAGAGTAGCAGGGAGGGAGAGGCAGGGAAAGGTTGATTGGTGGGTACTAAACTAGAGAAGAGTAATAACTTTTGGTGTGCTGTTACATATTAGCTTGACTATAAATAAATATACATATACATTTACTGTATATTTTTAAAAAAGCTAGACTTTGTATCTTTACATCACAAAGAAATGACAAATGTTTGTGGAAACAGAAGTTTAACCCAATTTAAACATTACACAAAGCATACATGTACAGAATTATCACATGGCATCCTTATTAACATGTACAATTTTTATGTTGTTTTGTTTTTGTGGTATTGGGGGACAGAACCCACAGGCAATCCACCACTAAGCTATACCCTAATCCTTTTTATTCCTTTTTTCAAAATTTTTTAATTTTTTTTTTTTGAGACAGGTCTCACTATTTCCCAGGTTGGCCTTAAGCTTGTAACCTTCCTGCTTTTACCTCCTGAGTGGATGGGATTACAGACATATGCCAGTGCACCTGACAATTTTTATATTTTGATGTACCAAATTTTTTATTTGGTCTTTTTAAAAAAAAAACAAAAAATACCACACAAAATAAAAAATAACCAATGGCCTAAACTTGGATGTATATATTAATGTTACTAGTTATTAGTTATAAGACTAATAGTAATTAAAATCTTTATTTTAAAATAAAATTAATTTTGTCTAACAAAAAATTATTAATCAGGGCTGAGGTTGTAGCTCAGTGGCAGAGAGCTTGCCTTGCACACGTGAGGCACTGGGTTCAATCCTCAGCACCACATAAAAATAAGTAAACAAGATAAAGATATTTGTGTGCATGTATAACTAAAATATATTTTTTTAAAAACTACTAATCAGAAATTAAACTGAATCTTTGCCTGGTTGATATTATTTTAAAAGTCAAAAAGCACAGGAATTCAGTTCTAGAAAAGCAGCCATAACTTTGGATCTTTTCTATTCTGACCACAACTACCTGGAAATAACAACAATCCCAGATACAGAGGGGGCAAGGTAAGGAAATGAAGATAATCTATTATTATTAGCTTGATATCCTAAGATACTTTCCTGGGATATCATAAATTCTGATTTGTGTGGGTAATAAAGCATTCATAGAGAGATTACTTCTAGGGGCTCGGGATGTAGCTCAGTAATAGAGAGCTTGCTTAGAGGAAAAAAAAAACAAAAAAACTTTACTCCTACACTTCGAAGCAGTAATTTTGTAACCATCAAGCCTGACCATTAAACCCTGGAGAAAGCCTCTTCCAATGTAGCTGCTCACACCCAAAAACACACAATTTGAGGCCAAGAAATCTGTGTTACAGCTAAAGTGGTTCATTAAAGCACTGAGATATTCATTCCTGGATTTAAGTTCATGAAGTAACTCTATTTCCAGGCTTTTCATTCACATTTATATTCATACTCTTTGTGCCCTGATACATAGACACCATAAAGGAACACACACATTAAGTGACTCAGGTTTAATGATTTCATAGTTTATAATCATTACTTGAACACATCACTTCTGCTCACTGTAGATAATCCAGGTCATTTGCCCTCCCACTAATAACATTGTTACCTGTTTTGCACACCTCAAACTCTCACAATACAGGCCTTTATGACCAAATAATACATATATATCAGTCCAGTTAGCAGCCAACCATTGGTCTTTCAGGTCCAAAGACCTCTATATACAATGAGAGCAGAATGGGGAGTTGTTACTGTTTGGACCCAAGTTTTCTGAGAGCCTCCTTTCCGTTGCCTGAATAACAAGGCATCTTTCTTTAAGGGGCAGAATTAATCTATTTATGTCAAGATCCAATGGGAAGAAAGTAACCCAACCCAGCATCAATTGAGCTTCTACCACTTTCCTGTGAGGGTCATGGCATTCTTTTGGAATCTTCTGCACATCTCTTCCCTGTCCCTACAAAAGCAAAAACATCTGGAAGCAACTCTTAGCAGGAAACCCTTTTATCCAAGCAGGATCTGTAAGAAGCTAGGTTTTATTTCTTAATGAAAATAACAACGTTGAAGGGAAGATAGTAGTTATTTGCTCAAAATCTCAGTCCAACATAGAGTAAGGCAGGGACCAGGGAGAAAAGTCTATTTTAACCCAGCCCTGGCCCAAAGTTGGTCATTCAGAAAATCTCTAATCAAACTAGTGCTCATAGTCCTCTCCAGGTCTCTCTAGGTTGATCTAGACAACAAATGGTGTGTTGTCTAGATTGCATTCCTATCTAGATTAGACTTTCCAGTTCCAGGATGAACTCACTATTCCTTGGCCCTTTGGACTCTTAGACAAAACCTGTCACAAACTTTCCAGCCTGGCTTTAAGTCCCCAGAGAATCGGGGCAGTAGTGGACCAGACTCAGACTGTGATGAGATGGAGAGAACAGCTAGTCGCTGTACATGTTCAGAAATTAACTGAACTCCTCTGGAGTCACACTTACTCCTAGCCCTGGACTAGGATCATAATATTAAGACAAAACATATTATTTTAAAAGTTCTTAACACTTTCCCAGACTTGCACCTCTGGTCCTAACCTCTCTCTCACCTTCCACTTCCCCTCACATACACACCCCCAGAAGATGCTGTCCCAACACTTTCCAATATCTCCTAGGCCCAGGATAAAGCAGCATTAATGGCATTTGGCAGAGAATCCCATCCCACATTGAAGACTCCTCCTCGGAGTTCAACACAATGAAGAAGTAAATGATAACACAAGAGGCAGTAGCAATCAGAACCTGCCTATTCCCACACAAAAGAGGCACAGAGATTTCAGGTGTTAGTGAAAATGGTATCATCTCTTGCCAGAAGGCCACCAGCTGCCACCACTTGGGAGCCTCATTATCACTTGTTTCTCCTCTGGACTGAAGTGTAAGATGGTCAGTATGGCTGTAAGAGTCTGCTGGCGGCCCAGGCTGTCAGGCAAGGTCAGGAAGCGGTAGATGATGTTTTTGAGGTATTCTAGGTTAGCTCCCTCCCTGCTCCGGTCCCTGATGTTCTTTTCAATGTGGCTCTGCAAGGCTCCCACCTCCTCTCGATGCCGCTCCCCTTCCTCCAGCAGCCGATCCTGCAGCTGGTGTGTCTCTACCTCCAGCCTGTGCTTCTGCTTCCTCAGGGATGTGATCTCCACTTCCTTACGGGCCAACTGCTCAGCATACAGAAAGAAAGTGGGCTCATTGGCTGCTGCAAGCTGCAGTGCTTGGGTCAGGCTATCTGGGGAAGATGTGTCAGTTGAATCCCTGGAAACCCCACTGACCACAGGGCTTCTGCGTCCTGGTAACCCAGCAGACAAAGCCACTGAACGCAGTTGCTCCAGCTCCAAGTCCTTTTCAGCAAGCACAGCAAGGGCCCGGTCCCGCTGCTTGTGCAGCTCCTCCTCCAGTTTCAGCGTTCGGTCCCTGAAGTCCAGCTGGCTGCGCTCCATCTGCTGCCGGTGAAGCTGCTGCACCCGAGCCAGCTCCTGCTTCCAGTCCTCAGCCTCCTGCTGGTGCTGGCGCTCAAGCTCCTCACAGGACAACCGCAGGGAGATATACTTCTCCTTCAGCTCTGCAAGCTGTTCCTGTGCTGCCTCCAGTTCTTTAGCCAGATTCCCATCTTTGGTATTTTTGCTCTTCAGCACAACCTGAGCCCTCATCTTATAGCGCTCAAACTCTTCCTTCAGTTGTTTTAGCTCCTGTTGGTAGTAGAGTGCAGTGGCCTTCTCCCCATCCGCGGCCTCAGAGCTGGGCATTATCTCCAGGTCACAGAGTTTCTCCACATCCAGGGTCACCTGGCTTTTCCTGGCTGCAACCTGCAGCAGCCTCTTCAGCTTCTCCATCTTATCCTTGAGGACATTGACATCCAGACTGGACTCATCTCCATGGCTATCTAGAGGGGACCGACTAGAGGCTGCAAGAGCCAGGGTCTTGTTCTCCAGGTCCAGCTGCAGAATGCGCTCCTTCAGCTTCTGGATAGTCAGCTGGTCCTTCTGCTTGGCTTTCTCATAAGTGCCCAGCAATTCAGACACCTCAGATATTTGATTCTCTAGGGCTGCAACTCTCTGCTCTTCCACCTGAGACTGCTGGCGGAGCTGATCCTCTACAAGGGCTGTCTGCAAAACAAGGGAACAGACAAAAATGCATCCAGAAAAGCCATAAAGCCCTACAGCAAACTTTGGGAGAAAAAAGCAGGACAGGGGAGAAATAGGATCTCAGGATTGGGGTGGCCTGATAAGAATGGCAACTGGAGATTTTTAAAGCTAAGCACTTTTGTATAGCTTCTGCTGTTCTGTTGAGTTTTCCATTTTCCACAGAGCTCACATATAAAGTATGTTCCTGTTGTCTATCATGTGGTTCCCCAAGTTCTATTAAGAAATCATTAACATTCTCTGTTTTTGCAACATTCCTGGAAGTTCAACAATGAATTGGATTTCTCTCTACATTGAAAGGAAGCAGTATAAAGGAGCCCTTTTCCAAAACAGGCAAATGATGACTGAGAGCAATTACAAGAGGTTATTTCTTCTGCAAAAATCCTCTTTGTCCCCTTCAGTCATTCTGCCTAGAGGCAAGTAGCTCTAGGTATATATACACACTACCTTTCACTGTACAGCTGCCACTATATTGCTTCACAGAGAACAACTAACTGGTAAGTTGCCAACACTCCAAGGCTCAAAACTGTCTGGCTTAGACTCAGCCACACTCAGAACCTCCACATCCTATTGGATACTCCACACACTCTGGATACTATCAACACCACACAGAACAGGATTTCCCAGGACTCACTCCTGGAAGCTTTTAGATAGCCATCAGAAACGATAGTAGTTGAGAAGACAAACAATAATTGAATTAAATGACTAACATTTGAAGAGGATAGTTACCTTCCTTATTTCCTGCTGCAACTGAGCCTGGAAGTGGCTCTTAAGGCAGGCAGCCTCTTCCTGAAGCTCTTTCAGCCGGGGATCTGGCTGATTCCTCTCATCTCGAATGGCCTGCAGCTCACCTTTCAGCTCCTCCACTTCACGAGTCAGCTGCTTGGTCTGCAGTTCAAATCCTTCCATCTGATCAGCAGCATATGCCCGCCCTGCCAGGGCTTCTCGGGTCTCTTCTAACCGAAGCTCCAAATCCTGGCGCTGTGTCCTCTCCTCCTGCAGCAATTTCTGGAGCTCACGCAGCATCAAGGCATGGTCAGTCTGCTCTTGGGCCCGATCATGCTGTTGAGTTATAAGTCTGGCTTTGGTTTCTGCTATCTGTTCCTGCAACCCCTTCAATTCTCCCTCCAGACGGTCCCTCTCCTCCTCTGCCTTTTTATTGGCATCCTCCAAGTCCTGTTTCATCTTCTTCTTGTCAGCCAAATAAGAAGCCTCCATACGGGATTTCTCCTGGGTAACTGTGGCCAAGGCGCTGGTCAAAGTAGCCAACTGAGTCTTCAGCTGGTGCAGTCTTTTGTCCACCTCACTACCAGCAAAGAGCCCATCCCCACTGCTACTGCTAACGCCACTCTCTGATCCACTGGCCTCTTCAGACTTTGGAACTGGTGGTCCACGGGCTGATCTGTCATCTTCTACCCCACATTCGCCCTTGGTGCTAGTGAGACTGGCTGCAGTATCTAAACTGGTGGCGGTCCCAGTGCTATCCTCGCTGTGAGTGGAGCATCGGTCATCCACTGAGTCAGGAAAGGTGAGACCTGAAGGCTGGACACCTGCAAGGCCTACATCGGCCTCGTGGGATACCGACAGCACCTTGATGCTGGCCTCTAGCGCCTCTTTCTCCTTAAGCAGGCTTTTATAGGCGCGGACCACATCCTTTAGCCGAGCTTGGTACTGGAGAAGCTGCTTCTTCTGCGTCTCTATGGTTTCCAGTAGGTCCTTCTTGCTCGGGCCACCCCCGAAATTCATCCCAAACTTCTCCATGGGGGTTCCCAGCAGGTTGCTCCACGTCAGCGTTAGGGAAGCCCGGGAGAAGGCCGCGAAGACGCGAGCTGGGGCTGGAACGCAGCAACAAGGGCTGTCTGACCACAAGCCACACACGAGTTCCACCGGGCGGTCCGCGACTCGACGCGGTCCGGGGACAAGTCTGGCAGAAGCGCCCGCCGGGTCTCAGGCGGCGGGGGCGGGAGCGGGAGCGGGTCCGGTCGCGTAGGCGGGGCGCCGCCGGCACCACCAGAGCACACAGCCCAGATTCGCCCTCACTGGCTAAGAAGCCGCTCCGCCCTCTCCGCAGGTCCCGGTCCACCGCAGCCCGGGCCCGCCCCCTCGGCCCACCGTCCGCCAAGGGTTTACGCCGCACTGGGTCCCATCGTGACTTCCTAACTACCACAGCCGGCCGACAGCGGCGCTTCCGGGTCCGCTGGAAGTGACGACAGTTTGACGCCAAGGCTCCGCCCCACAAGGGCGCGAGGTGGGCGGGGCTCCTTCAGCGGGTTAGTGGGAGGCGGCCTGTTGAAAAACCAGCCCTAATGCGAGCCGCAGTGGACAGGCTTTGGGTAGAGTAGAGCAAGCAAAGTCCAGGACGCTGGAGTGATGGTTTGGTAAGGTCGACCAAGCTTGCTCTCGGGCTACGATCAGCAAGCGACAGGGGGCGACGTCGCACTGCGTTCTTCCCAAACACACGTGTGAACTATCCAACTATTTGGAGCTGACTCTCTTTAAGACCACAAAAACTGCATCTCTTTCTTGTACAACGTTTGGCATCTAATTAGCAAATGCTGTAATAGTACTCCTACTTAGTTTTGCTGAGTTGATTCAACAAATATTTATAGAGGGCACTCTGTACCTCTAAGGATCCATCCTGAATGCCAGCTATATGTCCAGAAGCCTCATAAGAGTTTTGCTGTTTAATCTCCACAAAATAACAATTAGCACTAGTAAGGAAACTTAATGCACACAGAAGATAAGTAACATGCCCAAGGTCACACAACAAGTAAGTTTAGAAATCCTGTCTGACTCTCAACATACTAAGTTTTGTGCCAGGTGACAACATCATATGCCCTTGCCCTCAAGGAGCTCACAATCTAGTGAGGATCCAGACATGCAAATAAGTAGGTCCTGCTATCATATAGTATGTATGGCTATATTCAAAGAGGGGGGAGGTTTATCTAGGGGAGGCACAAATGGTCTCAGGGAAAATATTTGGGGATTTGAAAGATGAATAATTATTGCCCATCTAATTAGAGATGAGGGAAAGCAGCATTCTAGGCGGGTAGAAAAGACTGCAAGGACTTCTGGGCTATAAGAGAACCTGACTCACCCAGGAAGCATTAAGAATCTTCTCAAAGAAGTAGCTTAGGGTATGGGAAGGAGGTGACAACAAATAGGGCTGCCACTCAACTTAAGGCATTTAGATTTTATCCTGGGTAAGGCATTAAAGGATTTTGACTCTCAAGAAGTGGACATCACCAGACTTGTATGACATCGTAGGGGCAGGAGACCTGTGAGGAGGCTTTTTCAGTCCTGGAAAATGATGGTAGTAAAATAGGGTAGTGACAACAGGAATGGAAAAAGAGGTTGATAGAGCTTAGGATGTAAAATTGACCTGATTTGTTGGCTGCTAACTCTTAGATTGGGAATCTTTGAAATGTATACTTTGACTTTTATAAAAGCCTTCTTCAGAATTCAAGACTATGACTAAAGAGTGAAAGAAAATTATGCAGTCACACACCTGGTTCCCTATAAGGATGGGGCAGGCCCTGGAGGTCTGTTTAGACCCAGGTTTTTAATAGCCTTGATAACATCCAGCGGTGTTATACAAAACATTCAGTGGCATCATTTCCTCTTTTTAATCTTCACCATAACCCCTTAAGTTAGGACAAATATGTCTCTTTTTACAAATGAGAAAATGGCAAAAGTTGTGGGGATCATTGAATGCAAATCCTCAAAAATATAGCAGACTTGATATTTGACTTAAGGCCTGAAATAGTGCCCGCACATAGTGGGCAATTAGTAAATATTTGTTGAATAAATGAAGAGTTTTCAGACTCCCAGGTCAGCTCACCTCAAGTTCATGAGAGATTGATCCTGGGAATCCAGAATAGGCATAACACACGCCCTTGCTCTACTGAACAACCTAATAATCCAGTTCAACCCAACAATTACTGGTGAAGCACATAAATGTAAATTACCATGCTTAGATGTTAAAATAACATTACATATGAAGCTCTTTACGACTAGGGAAACAAGATCCTCAAAAAATCCTGGATAGATGTGCAATAATAATACAGGTCCCCAAGTCTGGCAAAGAGAACTTCAGAAAGGCTTCCTGGCCCCAGATGGAAAGGAAGTGTTCCCAGGGAGATGAAGGCAAGGTGGAGTTCTCCAGTAGTGGGTCTGCAATCACTCTGTCCAAGTGTGGCTTCCGCTGGTCCTGCAGACCAGGGATCTATGAACTAGGTGGTTTAAGGAACCATGATAGCTAGCACCCAGGCACAAGTCGTGGAGGCACCTACTGCACACAGAACACTCAGCCGGAGCCCAAAGGGCAAGAGAATACTAAGATCCCTGCACACAGCTTTCAAACCCCCCCAAAGAAGGGGGTGCAAACAGTCGTGCTACTAGTTCCCAAAAACTTAACCGGAGCACAGAGTGGTCTGGACGCAACAATTCCAAGCCCAGCGGCCAGCCACCAAATATAGGGGTGGGGTCCGCTGTGAGCCTTTACTCCGCTCCCCTGGAGCTGCGGATCGGACGACTACAGGCCTGACAGAAACAAGTGGCGACTAGGTCAGGCCGCGGAGTCTGGTACAGCTTCTGTTCCGCCCGGCGTCCGGGCCTGGGGGCGGGGCTGAGGCGGGCCCGGAGGGGGCGGAGCCGCGTGACGTCCACCGGGCCGGGACGCGCGGAGGCGGCGGCGCCTCTTCCTGCTGCTGCTGCGCCCCATCCCCCCGCGGCCGGCAGGTTCCAGCCAGTACCCCGCGTCCGCGCCCGCGCCCCCGCCCCCGGGCCCCGCCATGGGCCTCACCGTGTCCGCGCTCTTTTCGCGGATCTTCGGGAAGAAGCAGATGCGGATCCTCATGGGTGAGGCAGATCGAGTGCGCGGCCCGAACCTGGGCGCCGGCCTCGGCGCAGCCCTCTCGCCCCCGCGTCCCTTCCAGCCCGGCTCACCTGGCTCTCTGACCTCGAGTCACCACCTCCTAACCCTCCGAGGCCTCTGCTTTGAAGCGGTCCGGGTCCGCAGCGCTGCCTTCGGGGCCTGAAACCCGGAGCTGCGGGCCTGGGTGGGGTGAAGCTTCCTCCGCCCCAGCCCGGCTGCTAAGAAGGGAGGATTCCGCCCTTGGAAATGACTTTTTAAAGGAGCTCGGCCTTCCTCCCATGTCCCTCACCTCCCAGTCCTGTCCCGTCCCTAGCCCACTCTGTGGACAGCAGTTGGTGCAAGCCACCCAGACTGCCCTGAAGGCCCCGAAGGTAGAGAACAGCGCGCACCTGGAGGCGCTCCCGCTCTCCGCCCCCATCACCATCAGCTGTCCAGGCTTCTACCTTTCCCTCGTCTCTAGGGGGCTCCCTCGCTCCCGTCTCCATCTCTGTGCCCCTCTCTGTTGCAGTTGGCTTGGATGCAGCTGGCAAGACTACGATCCTGTACAAACTGAAGTTGGGGGAGATTGTCACCACCATCCCCACCATAGGTGAGCCCCAGGGTGAGGCAGGGAGGATCTGGGAGCGCTGCGGCGGGCCTTCTCCGGATCTGCTGAGGCCCTTATCTGGAGCTGACCATGACACCAGATATTGCTACTTGAGAAGTGGGTCACCATATCTCTACATTGCCGGATGGTGAGGGAGGCGGGATGGATGTGGCCTAGCCCCGCCTCATCTGTTGACAGCCAGTCCTCCTGGGTCCTGTTTCCCTTGGCCTTGATCATTGCCTTCTGGTTTTGTAACCCTGTTGAGATCTGAGTAGTTTTTAGTGAATTCCTTCCTTTCAGGACTTTTTCTCACCCACTTCACCCCACCCCCATTATCTGCAGGCTTCAACGTGGAAACAGTGGAATATAAGAACATCTGTTTCACAGTCTGGGATGTGGGAGGCCAGGACAAGATTCGGCCTCTGTGGCGGCACTACTTCCAGAACACTCAGGTGGAGTATGGGAGGGAACTCCCCAACCCCAAGAAAGGAAAAACTATTAGGACTAGGTGAACTGAGCTTTTGGCTATAGGCAGGGTCCATAAGACAGGAAGACCCACTGCCACCCACTTTGCTAGATTAGACTCTGCTCATCCTTCAGAACTCACCTTAGTCTTGTTCTTAGGCTTAGCTACCTTAGACTTCTGGGAAGCAGTATTCTGAGGCCACACTGCTTGATTTAGCTCCTTAGTATCTTTCCCTGATCCTTGCTCATCTTTTAGATAGACTGCCTCCTCTGAGATTGGAGGCTGTATCCCTCACAGGGGTTTCTCTAGTTTGTGGCAGGACTTATGCAAAGTCTTAGTGGAAGTTTACCAGATGAGAAGAGCTGACGTAACTAAAGATGGGAGAAGAGAGAAAGGGCCAGATTACACAGTGTGACCCAGGAGGGAGTGAGTGCTTCTGCTTCCTTTCTTCCTTCTCACCCAGGGCCTCATCTTTGTGGTGGACAGTAATGACCGGGAGCGGGTCCAGGAGTCTGCTGATGAACTCCAGAAGATGGTAGGTACCCAGAATCCTAGGAACTGAGCCCTAGGCTTGGGGACAGAACAAACTCTGTGGTGGTATGTAAGTCTGGGAACTCCCAAGTATCAGAGGCCAGAAATGTGATTTTTTTTTTCTTTGTGGATATAACATGTTGTGTCTCTCTCTCTGTTGGCATAGGACAGAATTTTTTTCATGAATTTTCATGCCTTCACATCTGAGCCTAGAAGATGGTGGAAAGAGGTGGCGAAAATGGCACCTCACATTCTTGCTTTTTCCACTTGGAAATTGTGTTATTTTGCCTAGGGCAGGTTCTCAAATTAGAAGACCTTTTCTAGACTTAAGTTTAGGCATCCTCAAGTTTATTTATAGCTCTTGATCTTGTGTTTAGCAGTAGACTACCATGCTACTGTGTTTTTTCAACAGAGAAGCTAGAAGGTAGAAAGTGGGGGCTTCCCAACACACCCACCAAAAGAGAACCTGTGGACCTAGTGGGGCCACCAGTTCTACCTTCTCTCTTCCCCTCCCAGCTGCAGGAGGACGAGCTGCGGGATGCAGTGCTGCTGGTGTTTGCCAACAAGCAGGACATGCCCAATGCCATGCCTGTGAGTGAGCTGACCGACAAGCTGGGGCTACAGCACTTGCGCAGCCGTACGGTAAGGATCCCGCTCTGCTTACACTATACCCTGCCTCTCACAGGAGAGCTACAGGCTGTGGCAAGGATATAAAGATACCCCCTTTCTTCCCTGCTGCTGACCTCTTTCTTTCCTTCTTCCCACAGTGGTACGTCCAGGCCACCTGTGCCACCCAAGGCACAGGCCTGTATGATGGGCTGGACTGGCTGTCCCATGAGCTGTCAAAGCGTTAACTCGCCAGGGGCAGGCCCCTGCTGCCCGGAAGCTCCCGCGTGCATCCCCGGGATTACCAGACTCCCGGGCTCCTCAGGCAGTGCCCTTCCCTCCCACTCTTCCCCCCCACAGACAGGCCTCTGCTCCTGCTCCTGCCTGCATGTTCTCTCTGTCGTTGGAGCCTGGAGCCTCACTCTCTGGGCACAGAGGGGTCCATTGTCCTGCCTGCTGGGACCTGCAGAAGGGCTTCCTGGCCAAGGCCCCCTCATCCAGAGGAGGAGCAGGGATCTGGGTTTACTTTTGTTTTTTCTGTTTTGGGTGTACCCTTGGGGCCAGGTTGTGGGGGTGGGGGGAAGTGAGGGCTCCGGGTGGTGCTATGATGTGGAACTGGATATTGAGTAATAAATTTGCTGTGGTTTGTACTTTGTGTTGTCTGTAACGTAGAAGCTGGATGCTGGTTCATTGGGTACAAAGAGACAATATGGGGGAGGCTCAAAGCAGCTGTGGCTGTAGGGCCAACATATATATGCATACACACACTCATCAAGCTCAGCTTCTCCCTCCTTATTCTTGGACTGGAAATATATAAGGTTTTCAGTAGAGGGAATTTCATTCCTTCCCCTATTCCGAGGAATGTCAGCTGCCGATAATAGAATCTACCTTCTTGGTTCTGTAAACTACCCATCCTAGCTATACAGAGTAATAGTTTTTCACAATTGCTTTACACACAGTGAAGGGAATGTGTGTTAAAAATATTGGTGTGGGTGTGGTGGTGCATGCCTGTAATCCCAATGTCTCTGGAGGCTAAGGCTAGAGGATCACAAGTTCAAAGCCAACCTCAGTAACTCAGTGAGACCCTGTCTCAAAACTAAAAATGGGCTGGGGATGAGGCTCAGTGGTTAAGTGCCTCTGGGTTCAATCCCTGGTGTGTGTGTGTGTGCGCGCGCACGCACGCAAATATATATATATATATATATTTTTTTTTTAATTTGTATACATGTATATATATGTCCCAAGGCACATTTCAGAAAATATTTCATCAGAACTGGTCTGAGGCCCAATAATATCCATCTCTAAAATTAACTAGATGCTCTGGCACTGGCCAGAATCAAATTGCCTTGTTTTACAAAACACTGATAGAGTCTAGGGGTTACATACAGTTCCTTGCTCAGCACCACTGAACTCTATACCTAAGAAGTCCCCATCTACAGGGACTCAAAACACATGTAAGGAATTGGGTTGTGGGCTGATTCTGCCCATCTTCCCTTTCGATTCCAGCAAGGCTTAGAACCCATCAACACTGCCATCATTTCTTGTTGTCTTTCTCCCATTTTTCTCCATGTATTTAGTTTCTCCAGTTTCTGGGCTAGGTTTTCTCCTTGAGTTTTGCAAGAAGTATCCCAAAGACCATTGGACAATAGAGCCTCTGTGGGGAAAGACTGGTATCCTCATGGGCAGCTCTGGTTGTCTGCCCAGCCAGCTGATCTGCCTGCTAGTGCAGCTGGGAGTTGGTAAGGATGGTGCTGGGGGCTCCTCCACCCAGACCCCTTATGCTGTCCCGAGTCAGCCCTTTCAGACCAATAGGAATTATTCCATTTTCCCTGGTTGTCTATCTAGGGTTTCCTCAAACTTCCTATAAACCAACTTCTGAAGACATTTTGGCCTCATCTTCCCAAGGGCTCTAAAAGATGATGGATTTTTCTTGGGTATCTTGAACTTAAAAAAATACTTAAAACCACAAAAGAGTCAGACAGAACACACTTTCTGGGAAGAAAGCAGTTGATTTCTATCCCATTAATGAGAAACAGGTAAAGAAACGGAAGGACATGGCTAAAGTTGCAAGTTATGGTTCTAATTCCCAGTTAGCTCAGCCTACCTCATTGCCTGGAATGACACGGGGAGGCAAATGCTAGAGGCTTTAGACCCTCCTCCTCTGGACCGTGGATTGATGGTGCTGGGCCAGTGCCCTTTCCCCACTGTGTTGGGATAAGAGGCAACCATCACAGTCACAATGCTCCCGGGTCACAGAGGTGCCAGGCCATAGGCCAACCTCTTTTGAGAAGTTCCCTCTGGGAACATCTTCTGGTGGGTACTACAGACCTTATTCGGGGCCCTATGGCCTGTGGAACCTCACCGCTGGGGGGAAGGCTGGGCCTGTGGGAGTCATCATCTGTAGCACTAGCCTCATGGATGAAATGAAATGGACAACCAGACATCCTAAGGCAGAGGATCTAAGGGTTGGGCTCCTCAACTGGGCAGGAACTTACCTCACTTTTGAAGCATACAAAAATACAGTCACAACTACTGCAAAGAGTTTGGGCAGAAAACAGGTAACAAGGCAAACTTTCTGAACAGCCAATCTGTGTGTGTGTGTGTGGCAGAGAGGGTGCACTCTCGACCTAATCATCTTTCCTAATCCTTGCCATTGCCTAGCCAAGACCCTTCTACTGCAGGCTTCTGCTCATGGGTCTGCACTGCTCCATCTCTTTCCCCAAGGTGAAGCCTCAACCCTGGCCTGGCTGCCTTGCCCTGTTCTGCTCCCTACCCTCTATCCCAGCCCAGGGTGGTTGTGTCATCACAAAGAGAAGTGGAGAGCCCAGCTGAAGGCAGAACTGTGGGCATCCAGGGGAAGTTGGACCAGTTGGACTGTAGTGCAAGGCCTGTTTCTATTCTGGTTGTAGTTTGAAAATGGAGTATTCTAGAAGTACTTGCGGAGACTCCATTTCCACTTTAGAAAAAACTGTAGGCATCTCTGGAATGGGGGCTAGAGTGAGGCAGGAGTAAAATATTCTACCTTATAATAAAGTTGACCACAGTGAACCAGGCAATTGCATCTTAGTGGTTTACTCTTGGAGCTGGGCATATCTATAAAAGCTCTTGCTTTTCTCCTGCCCTGTTGGGGAGGTTGCCTGTAGGGATGGAGATTTAGTTGAATGTGCTATCAAGGGGCAACAGTAAGGACAAAAAAAGTAAAATTTAAACCAAAGCTTTTCTTATAAAATTAGGTATTGAAGAATGGAATTAAGGAAGGGAGAAAGAGGTTTACCTTTGGTTAGCTGGCGATGAGCATCTAGAACTTCTCTTTAGATCTTGAGGAACCCTATGGTGGAATGGCCCAGAGATCTTTCTATTACTATTAGTTGGGAGAGTGGAAGAGCTGACAGCAAGGAGACACCAGGGCAGACATGGAGGGGAAGGTGGTTGGTCTTGGTAAGTGCAGGGGTGATAACAAGGGTTATGGTTGTGGGATTTCTCAGTGTAGTTACTTGGCAGCACTGATTTCCCTCTTTTTGCACCATTCATGCCTCCAGACCTGGGAGCTCCTGGTTAGCAATGAACATGAGGCACAGGCTGTGATACGACTAAAGAGCTTGCAGGGTCTCTACCTTCTCTGTGAGGCAGATGGCACTGTGAGCTATGGTCGGCCAAAGAACAGCCACCATGGATGCTTCCTACTCCGTTTCCACCGGAATGGCAAGTGGACCCTCCAGTGCATAATCTCTGGTCGTTATCTGGAGTCCGATGGTGAGAATGTGTTCTGCAACTCCCAGGTCCTCTCTGCTTACCATATGTGGACCCCCCGGCCAGCCCTGCATGTCCACGTGACCCTGTACAGCCCTGTCTACCACAGCTACGCCAGGGCTGACCACACTGTGGGCCGCATCTGGGTGGATGCAGCAGTCCCCTGCCTGGAAGAATGTGGCTTCTTGTTGCACTTCCAAGATGGATGCTACCACCTGGAGACCTCTACTCACCACTTCTTGTCCCATGTAGACCGGCTGGTTGCCCAAACATCACCACAAACAGCTTTTCATATGCAAGTACGGCCTGGAGGGCTTGTGGCACTGTGTGATGGAGAAGGTGGTTCATTATATCCACATGGTGCACATATGCTCCTGGGCCTGGGCTCCAATCCCATGAAGGGCCAGGAGTGGTTCATCCTACAGCACTTCCCAACCTGGGTCAGCCTCAGGACAAAGGCTCGGAAGTTCATTTCAGTCATCTACGGCAAGTGCGGGCTCCAACACAGCCATGGAGGGAGGAAGGACCTTCTGTTGAAAAGAGGAAATGAATCTGGGCTCTATAAGGGTGTTTTGTTTTGTTTGTTCCTTCCAGTAATAAGATTGAACCCAGGGCCTCGTTCATACTGGGCCAGCACTTTACCATTGAGCTACATCTCAACCCTTTTTAAATGAATTTTATTTTGAGATATGGTCTTACTAAGATACCTAGGCTGGCCTCAAACTTGTAGTCCGCCTTCCTCAGCCTCTTGGAGTAGCTGGGATTATAGGCATGTGCCACGGGTTTTTGAACCTGCTTATCAGGAAGATCCTGGTGTCCCAAAGGAGGTCTCTTGTGGAATAGAAAAGGACAAAAAAAAAAATCAGGGATATGGGGATTTGGAGAAAAGTCACTTGAGTTAGACTATGGTCCAACATAGGTGATGGAGGTTGAGGAGGGAAAGTAGGGGGAAGTTCAGCAATAGGCATGAAGGAGGAGCCAGGCTTGAGTTCTAATGACATGCACTTCCTCTACAGATGCTGAGGTGTGTGCTGCCTCTGAGCAATTGACCCCAATGTCATTGTTCCAGTTTGAATGTGACTGTGAGACCCCCACTTTGCAGCTTCATTCAGCCAATGGCTACTACCTAGCCCAGGTAAGACTTTGGCTTTCAAAGCAAGAAACCATAAGCTCTGTGCTCTCTCTTTCTAGACACACTTCCTCCTTCTCTAAGGCAGATAATAAGATGGACAGATGAACAGTGAAGGGCCTTGCCTCATAAACATTCATTTTAAACCTCTTTTTAAAAAATCAACTTTATTGAGGCATAACTTAAATATACAACATATATATATATGATGTATACTTAATGATGATATATATAGTGTTTAATATGTAGCCTATATACTTTTATTACATGAGTTAAATACACATCCAATTTAAGTATAAAATTCAGAAGATTTTAACAAATGTATACACCCATACAACCATGCCACAAGTTACAGGATTTTTGTGGGTGTTTTTGGTACCAGGAATTGAATTTAGGGACACTCAACCACTGAACCACATCCCCAGCCCTTTTTGTATTTTATTTAGAGACAGAGTCTCACTGAGTTGCTTAGTGCCTCGCTGTTGCTGAAGCTGACTTTGAATTTATGATCCCCCTGCCTAAGCCTCCTAAGCCCCTAGGATTACAGGCATGCGCCACCACACCTGGCAAAGCTTCTCACTCAAGTTATAGAATATTTCTACCACCATAAAACTCATTTCTGCCCCCTTCCAGTCTGTTTACCTCCACCTGTGACCCTCCCACACCACTGATCTGTGTTCTGCCATTATGGATTAGACTTGCCCACTCTAGAATTTCATATAAAGGAACTTATATGGTATATATACCTTTTTTTGGGACAACACAAGGTTATTAAGATTCACCCATGTTGTTGCACTTATCAGTAGTTCATTCCTTTTTTTTTTGCTGATTAGTATTCTCTAATACTACTCATAAACATAAACATGATTTGTTTATCCATTCATTTGTTCATGAACATTTGAGTTGTTTCCAGTTTGAATTGTGATGAATAAAATTGCTATGAGAACCTGTAGACAAGTCTTTTTTGTGCCTATTTATTTATTTATTTGGGGGTAAATGCCCACAGATAGAATTACTGGTTCATAAATCTGCATTTAACTTTATGAGAAAATGTCAGCCAGCACAGTGGCTGGCAAAAGTCTAAAGTCCCAAAAACTTGAAGGCAAGAGGATCACAAGTTCGAAATCAGCCTCAGCAATTAAGGGAGACCCTGCCTCAAAATTTTAAAAGGGGAGGGGGTTGGAAATATAGCTCAATGGTGAAGGGCCCATAGTTCAATTCCCAGTACCACAAAAAAGAGTTAGTTTTCTAAAGTGAGTATACTATTTTGCATTTTTACCAGCAATTTATGTGAGCTCCTCTAATTGTTCTATATTCTCACCAATACATGATATTGCCTTCTTTTTAATTATAGCTACTCTAGAGGGTGCATAATGACATCTATGATGGGTTTAGTTTGAGGGTACAATTACAATCAGTCATTCTTAATCGGTCATGTTTTTGTTGGCCGTTTGCATATCTCCTCTGTGAGGTGGCTGTTCAAATCTTTTACCCATTCATTGCTGGAATAATGCCAAGTTGGAAGGGGTCTTTATAAGTTCTAAATTTAAGTCTTTTGACAAATATATGTATTATAAATATTTTCTCCCAATATATAGCTTTTCTTTTCATGTACTTAATGGTCTTTTAGAAGCAAGTTTTTAATTTCAATGAAGTCAAGTTTGTTAATTTTTAAATATTTACTGCTCTTTTTTTTTTTTTTTTTTGGAAGCAAGAAATCATTGCCTGCTCCAAAGTTACAAAGGATTTCTCTAAACTTTTCTTCTAGATGTTTTATAGTTTAACTCTCTTTTATGTCTATGATCCATTTCAAAATGATTTTAGAGTCAGGGCCAAGATTTATTTTTCTCCATATGATATTCTGGTCCCTCTTTTTATGCTGTGATCTGAGATACAATACAGGCTAGGGGAAGTGGAAGAGCTGAGGTCACAATATGCCTTCCAGAAGGATCTGAAAGCATAAAGTATGCTCTGGGGTAGGATGTGCGAAGAGGTCCAGGAATAAAAATATGGGAAGAAAGCTGAAATTGTGGGTTCTTACTTATGGTTCCTTTTCTCTGGTATCTAGCGGCGCCACAAGTCAGTGATAGCTGATGGGCATCCAATGGAGTCTGACACCTTCTTCCGTGTGCACTGGAATTGTGGCAAGATTATTCTGCAGTCTTCCAATGGGCGCTTTTTGACTACTACTGCCAATGGCCTGCTGATGGCCAGTGCTACCATTCCAGGTGAGCTGAGCAGCCTTATTGCCAGGTTATTTCAAGCCAGGGATGCTTTATCAAGGAGCTAAAATGTGACTTTTTTTTTTAAGGCATTGGAAGCACTGGAGTTGGGTCATAAGATTTAGGTCCACATAACCACTCAGTCACTGAATTTTTAAATCTCTTGAGCAAGTCACCAGTTTGAGCCTCAGTTTTATCATCTGTAAAAATGAACATGATATCTACTCTGCTGCCTCATAGGGTTGTCATAAGCATTGGATAGATTAACAAATCCCTAAGGAAGGAAGAATATTCAAATTTCTTGGGCTCCACACTGTGTTAGGTGCTCTCACAAACATTGCACAAGTGCCCTAACATAAGACAAAGCAGGTGTTCACTAAATGTTAAGATAGTAACAATAGCCTTCTTCAGTTAGGATTCCCTTCCTGCTTCCATCTTAGAAAACATTTAGAGACATCTCAACCAGATTTCTCCTCCCTGTTTCTTTCAGGTCCAAATGAGGAGCTTGGGATTCGATTTGCCAACCGCCCTTTCCTTGTTTTGCGAGGTCGGTATGGGTATGTGGGCTCCTCATCAGAGCATGACCTCATACAGTGCAATATGGATGAACCCGACTGCATTCACCTTCTGCCCTGCCGTCAGGGCATCTACCACTTCCAGGGTGGGTGGTTGCTTTTCCCCACTCCAAGGTTCAAATCCAGCCCCTGCTTTAGCCCTAGCCCAGATTTAAGGATAGCCACTTAGGGCCTTCTCATCATTCATCGGAAAGGGGAAAACCAAGCCAGGCACAGTGGCACATGTCTGTAATCCCAACGAACTGGGAGGCTAAGGCAAGAGGATTCCAAGTTCAAGGCCAGCCTCAGCAACTTAGGATGGCCCTAAATAACTTAATGAGACCCTTTCTCAAAATGAAGAATAAAAAGGGCTGGGGATGTAGCTCAGTGGTAAAGTGTCCCTGGGTTCAATCTCTGGCACCAAGAAAGAAAGAAAAAAAGATAGAAAGAAAAGGGAAAACTGAGTTTTTGTTTGTTTTCACACTTCAAGACTCCAGAGTGGGTTGGCAGACCAGGAACATGTTGACCTTCCTGCATTTCTGCAGAAGGACTTGCCAACCCAGGCAGGATAGGGCCAGTAGGGGAGGGTAGCATGCCTCCAGGAAGCCCCCTCAGAGGCTACACTGCTGGAGGACTCCCTTCCAAACAACCCACCGACCTGAGCTCTTCCCTCCCCAGCACAGGGTGGATCCTTCTGGTCAATAACATCCTTTGGCTCCTTCCGCCCTTGGGGAAAGTTTGCCCTCAACTTCTGCATAGAACTTCATGGAAGCAACTTGCTCACAGTGCTGGCACCCAATGGCTTTTACATTCGAGCCGACCAAAGTGGCACCCTAATGGCAGACAGCGAAGATGTTACCAAAGAGTGTATCTGGGAATTTTAGGTAAGGGGAGAGTAGGTAGGGACTTGGGACTAGGGGAGCAGAGTGGGGAGGTGGATGGGGACATGTGTAATGGAGACACCAAAATGCACTACTGGGCTGACTTCTGTCCAAGATTTGATTAACTTCAGACATATTCCAAATCCATGCCATTCCTTATGGACTTCTAAACTTGGATTATCTAGAGAGGAGAGAAGAAATCATATCTCGATTATGCCATACTGAAGTGTGCTTCCAAGCAAAACTGGAGGGAACAGAGTAAGATGTGTTTGCCTACTTCTCCTATATAAGATGCAGAATTTGTCTTATTTGGGAGATAAATGAGTGACTTTTAAGGATGTGTGAAGGTGGAAAAAAAAGATATGCTTTTTATTCTATGCACTTTTTATCCCTATCCCATGGATCCCTGGCTCTCCAATATTTATCTCTAGCCCTGATCCTCCTTGGCAACTATAATTTCACCTCTCTCCTGAAGGAACCAAAGTTAAGTCCACTTCACCCTGCCAGTCCCTCAAATTCAGCATGAAATCAGCTCCCCAGCCTCCTTTCCTAACATGATTCTCTTCTACCATCTTGTTTTCTTTCCGGTCATCTCAGGCACTGCCAAAACCCCAAGATGCTCAGGCTCAAGACTATCTCTGCCTTGCTCCTTTGGCCCCTTCATCAAACTCTGACAATTCTTGAGAACTTTCTTAGCAATGCCTCTTGAGGGCTTGCTGCTTCAGAATGACTCTGGCAGTCCCAGGTTTTTCATCAAAAGCCTGCCCTGTTCCCATCGCTCCTCAGCAGCACTCCCTGCTCCCAGATCCATCCCCACCCAATCTCTACACTCAGAGTGAGTTTACTTTCTTAAAGTGCAGCTTCCCTTTTACTGTTTTTCCTTTAAAACAATCCAGGGCACCTTGTTGTTCTTTGTCCTGAACCTTCACAATCAGTCTCACTTTCCTGGCTTGGAAAGTCACAGGATGTTGTAGAAAGCACTTTGGTTTTGCCATCAGACAGACCTTGAATCAAGAGCTAATGAGCTTGTAAGCTAGCTCTGTGACTTTAGGGAAATTACTTTCACATTTTTAGGTCTCCCATGTTCCCTATAAAATGGGAACTACTACACCAGAAGTATTAGGAAGGTTAAATATCAGTCCGCATCTATATATGGACCCTGAGTATGTATTCAATCTTTCCCATTTTCTGCCAGTTTTCTACACAAACTCTTTACTATGGCCAAAATGAGAAAAATAAAATGAAATTCCATCCAGCTTCAGCTTTCTTAACTATTTCATGAAGAGTTTATTGAACTTAAAAATTTCAGGATCCTTCCAAGCCTAATAGACAGTGTACTGTAGTGGTCATTTCTAGTCTCAGACCTGGACTATAATTAGGTGTTTTATCAATTAAGTTTTGTTGCTTGATTTTAAGCAAATGAACTTCTCAAAGCCTGTTTCTTGTGGGTGAAATAGGAACCTAATATTGACTTGGTAGGATAGTTATGAAGATTGCACGAGAGAATGAATGCAAAATGCTTGGTGAAAGTTGGCACCTAGCACACCCTCATTCTATCAAAGTCTCTGATCCAGTTCAAATTCTTAATAAACTAGGGCCAGGGGTGTAGCTCAATGGTAAAGCACACATATAACATTCTTGAGGCCTTGATATCTAACCCAGCAACAAAAGAAAACAAAACAAAATCAACAAAAGACAAATTCTTAGTAAATTATTTTTCTTGTTGGCTTTGGTATTCCTCTGAACTTCTATGGGAGGTGTTTTGTTTTGTTTTGTTTCCCCCACCACTAAAAAAAAAAAAAAAAAAAAAAAAAATCCTGCCTTTTCCTGTAAGTAAACTTCACATGTGTCTGGTGTTTATCTCTCTTGAAGGATGGGGCAAATCATTTTATTTCCTCTTCCCCCCCACCCAGGATCTTACCCAATAGTCTCCTAAAAGCTAGAAATGACTACAAATGACAGATAACTAAAAATGTTTGTTTCTTGTTCCCTCCCAGGCCAACAGGATGCCACCTGCCAAACTCCAAATCCTCCAGAAAAATACTACTGCACTAAACAGAACAGGAACCCCAGAGTCAAGACCCGAGAGAAGAATATCTGTTACACAACTTTTCCTACCCAGTTTAGCAAAACACCTGTTTTGAGCAACAATACATCACAACAGGCCACCGGAAAAAATCCTTGTGTGCATCTGACTCTGAAGAGAGTAGGGGTAGAGCTGAGGGTAGAGACTGAGTCTCCAGGCTGCTGTAAGTTCCATTAAGGAGAAAAGGAGACCAAATGGTAACCAGTTCTTCCACTCATCCTCTTTATCACTACCCAGAACCACTAATCTTTTCCTAGTGGTCCCACGAGGATCCAATCTTGCCCTGAAGGATTCAGAAATAAGATATGACTTTAAATGTGCTTTTTGTTCAGAACAAATGAAGAATTGTTAATCCTATGGGCATAGGGTAATGGTAATAATACTTTACACCTGTATGGCCCACCCTCTGGCCTCCCTCTTCTACAGTTCAACAGATTTCCCTGCCCTATCATCGTCTTTGATCCAGTGAAGTGGACCCCACTGTACTTCCTCTACCATTTCTCACCCTTTACAGGGAGCTGAAGTTCTTTGACCAAGGTCCCATGCCTAACAGCAAAAGAGCTTCACCTCTAACTCAAATTTTCTGACCCTGATGTTTGCTATTCTTTCCAGCAAAGCAGGATTTCTAAATATGTCCTTCATTCCTGCTCTGTCTTTATAGTTTGGGCCTTTATCTACCTAATAATTACCCTATTAATGTTTTTTGTATTGACACAGACTCAAACACATTTATTTAGAAAGCAATATGTTTATCACTATCATAAAGCAAAAAATCCAAATGGCTTGCCATAAGTAGAAAGTTGACTATAAAAATAAATACAATGAAAACAAAATGTTATTATCAAATCCCAGTTAGATTCCCCCTCTCCACCCAAGACTCCCTTTTCTCCTTAAAAGGGAATTTAACAACTGTTGAAGAGGTGCTAAATGAATCAAAATGGAATTTTTGATGCAATTAGACTTGAAAATAAGTTGAAAAGGGAACGTTTTCTCAACTTCTAACTCGCTGTTATTTAAAGCAGTGGCCACACAACTCCTAAAATATTTCTACACATCAGTAGTGATGCCTGTCTTCCACTTTGGGAAAATTGCCCCATAACATAATACATGTCTGATTTTTAAGTCTCTTGAGAAGAGAAGACTAAAACCAGAATATGAGAGAGATTCAGTTTGGATAGAAGAAAATTACCTAACTCTGTAAGTATATTTCTCCTCAAGAAACTTCAAGATAATTTGCGAGATACAATGGCACACTCCTGTAATCCCAGCTATGTGGAAGGCCGAGGCAGCAGGATGGCAAGTTCAGGACTGGTCAGGGCAACTTAGGAAACCTTGTCTCAAAATGAAAAATGAAAGGGCTGGGGGTATAGCTACTGGTAGAGTGCCCATGGGTTCAATCCCTAGTTCCACAAAAGTGAAAAAAAAAAGATTTTTTTAAATTTAATAAGTGAAGGTTGAAAATGCCAAACTAAAGCATCTACTTTCCTGGAGAGCACTAAGCACAGGACCCTGTGGGGCATAAGGAACACGTCTGTAGTTAGAGCACTTGGGAGGCTGAGTCAGGAGGTTCACTTGAGCCCAGGAGTTTGAGATCAGCCTAGGCAACCCAGTGAGACCCTGCCTAAAAAAATGTCCTATCTAGCTGGGCATAGTGACCAACTGTGTAATCCCAGTTGCTTGGGAGGCTGAGGTAGGAGGATCACAAGTTCAAAGCCAGCCTTCGCAACTTAGTGAGATTCTAAGCAGTTCAGTAAGACTCTGCCTCTAAATAAAACATAAAACGGGCTAGGGATGTGGCTCAGCCCCTGGGTTCAGCCTCCAGTACCAAAAAAAAAAAAAAGTCCTAATAAAGAGATAGAACCTCAGAAGTCATCTAATGCGGAATCTCTTCCTCAGCATTCCATAAATACATACATATGCTCAGATGCACAGGCATGTGTGCACAGGGATATACATGTATGCACACACACATACACACACACACACACACAATCTTATACCCAGTTTCTCATAAGTGGTTATTGGTCTTTTGCCTAAAGGAGTCATAGGGACTCAGCTGAGGCAACTTCTTCATTGCAGATGTCTATCCTGTGCTGTGCAGATTGTCACCCCATAAAATCTTGCCTATTTCCCTGGGCAGTTCTGTCCAGCAAGACCACCCACTTGAAAGTAGAGAAGGCAGGCAGTGACAGGGTGTGCTCTATTATGCTGAAAAGTGCATTCTTGAACTGTTATCCCATAGAACCTTCTGTACTGCTGGAAATGCTTTATAATCTTTTCTGTCCAGTATTATAACCATGAGCCACATGTGGCATTTGAAATGTGGGTAGTGAGAGTAAGAAGCTGAATTGTTCATTTTATTTGATGTGAATGACATTTAAGTGGCTACATGTTGCTGGTCACTAATTACTGAAAAGCATAGTTTTGGGTTATTTGTTAATAAAAAGATCTCTTGAGTGACAACTTCTGGATCAGTACTTATCCAAGGTGGGAGTAAACAAACATGACTCCACTCCCCCATTCCCAACCCTCTTGGCACTATTACTATTTATCTTCTGACCTTCAAAAGGGAAAGAATTTGGAGATATGAGCTCATTCATCTTTCTGAATATCCCCTTCTTCACCTTCTTTTCTCTGTTTTCCTCCCTTTCCCCACATTCCAAGATTCCACAGGAAGGACCTAGAGCTTTCTTTGCAAGGGGACAGACTTGAGAAAATTCAGAACTTACTGCCAAGAAGAACCAATCAAACATGCCCTTGAGCATGTATAAATGGAAAAGCAGGATATGAAAAATGCCATTTCTACTCTATTTGCCATGATGACAAAAATACACATGCATTAGGGAATCAATGTCTATTTTTTAAAAAATATTTATTTTTTATTTGTAGTTGGACACAATACCTTTATTTTATTTATTTTTTTATGTGGTGCTGAGGATCAAATCCAGGGCCTTGCACGTGCTAGGTGAGCACTCTACTACTGAGCTACAACCCCAGCCCCCTCAATGTCTATTTTTCAAACTAAGGAATTATAATAAATTTTCTTAGGTGAATATATGGTATTGTGGTTATTAAGAAAAGTTCCTCTTTTTTGAGATGCTTGCTGGAAGACTTAGGAATAAAATGCCAGGATATAATATCAATGTGTGAATATGTACACATATATATGTAGACTTTTTTTGGGGGGGTACTGGGGATTGAACCCAGGTGTGCTTAACCAGTGAACCACATCCCCAGCCCTTTTTTATATTTAATTAATTAATTAATTATTATTATTTGTGTTTGGTGCTGGGGATTGAACTGAGGGCCTTGTGCATGCGAGGCAAGCACTTACCAACTGAGTATATTCCCAGCGCTATATTTTATTTTGAGACAGGGTCTTGCTGAGTTGCTTAGGGCTTTGCTAAGTTGCTAAGGCTGGCTTTTAACTTGCAATGCTCCTGTACCACCTTCCTGAGCTGTTGGGATTACAGAAGTACGCCACCATGCCCAGTTTATATGTAGACCTTTGATTAGCCAAACACATAGATAGATAAATAGATAAGTAGATACATACATACAGACATACATCCATGGAGTAGATAAGATATATAGATATGTAGACAAATACATTGATTGGATACATACATATAAACACTGGATAGGTAGGTAGATAGGTAGGCATAATTATTAAATATAGGGGTGGGCATATTGGTGCTCACAAGGAAAACAATGCAACAAGAAATTACTGCTAATTTAAAATGTGTTTTTATTACTGCCAAGTGGAGGCCTCTTAAGGCCAGTGTGAGTAGTGGATGGGTGCTGCCTCTCCAGCTCCTCCAATCACATGATGCGCAGGAGGGGCAGTGAGGCAGGGCCAGGCAAGGTCCACACAGGAAGGGGGAGCCACAGGAAGGAGGAAGGCACAGCAATCTGTGTAGGCAAGATGGTAAGGACAATGGGCAAGATGGCATTAGATCCTGCCCCATCTTCACATTCTGGGTCTCTTGCCTAATTTCAAGTTTTATTGTAGCAGAGGGTTAGGCCCGACCAGAGCCTTAAGGCCACCAAGACTGGTGATGGGGACAGCAGAAGGATGGACAAGGAAGTAGGGAATCAGGGAATATAGCTGAGGGGGCAAGTAGCCTGCAGGACAAAGAAAGGGGGCTTGAGTTAACTGCTTGCCATCCTCTCCTCAAAATCACTGAGTGGGAAGGGCTGACACATCCATTCCCTACCCTGAATATATACACTCAAATCCCAATCCCAGTTCCCTTCACCCACTGTGGCTCTCAGTGCTACTATAGATTCAGGGGTACTAGTGTCCCAAACTTTGTGAATCATGCAAGGAAAGCTATATAGTGTCCCTAACTGGACATCCTTCAATGGCCCTAACTGGAGATCCATGCCTTCTGTGGGTCTAGAAGTCAATCAGCCCTCCCATACCTTGTAGGATTGAGGTCTGGCTTCAATTCTTACCCCAGCAGGGCTGGAGACAGGCTTGGAGAGGAGTGTCACTCAGACACCTGTCTGGTGCTGCCTGCAAACTCAGCTGAGACCAGGAGGGACCAGGTGGTTCCAGGGCTGGCAGAGCTGCTGTGGGAATACTGCCAGGGGGCTGCTAGTAAAAAACCAAAGGTGACCCTCAGCTGCCAATGAGGCTTAATGTTTCAAAGGCCTGGGATCCCAGGACCCCCTTTCCCACAGGCTGTGTCCTGCACAACTCCAGAGGGTGCCATTCACATAGTAGACTAGGGAACAGCACTAGCTGTAAGTGTGCACAGTGAGGGCTGTGGGGAGCTGTAGGTCCCAATTCAGGCCTTCACCAGATCTGGGAGAGGCAGTGAGCCCTTCAATCTTTCCAGTTGACAAACTCCCCTCTCTTCCAAAGTACCTGTGCAGAGATGATCCATGGGGACACCCTTGGTACAGTCAGATCCTTAGAAGCACCTACAAGGTCGGGGTGGATCCACTCAGAGGGAGGGATTGGTTGGGAGCAGAGGGAGTATGGTGAAAGATGGGGATTCAATGCAGGGGGTTCCAGGAAAGGCAGCAACTTCTTGCAGGGATGGGAGGAGATGGATGTCACAACCGTGAACTGCCTTTCTTTAGAAAGATAGACTAAATCCCAGGGATGGTTCTGGGAACAGTGCAGCCCTTAAGAGTAGGGACTATGTGTGCCCAACATCCAGCAAAGAGCCTGGTACATGGGAGGTACTGTGTAAATGCTGGCTGGCTGGATGGATGGATGGATGGATGGATGGGAGGGACTGATGGATGTATAGATGGATATGCACAGAAATCACCTGGCAGTTGCATTTCCCACTTCAGCTTCTCTTGCCGGCGCCATTTGGCTCTTCTGTTAGAAAACCAGACCTGAGGGGAAAATGGGGACCATGCTACTGGCTGTTCTCTCTGCCACCTGGCACCTGCTGCTGTCACCTGAGGCACCTGGCACCTGGCCTGGACTCAGAATGTAGAACTTTCTTCGATCCTGATTTGTTCTTCCTCCCTATTCTGACCTTTGCTGTCTGTCCCCTTCTTCAACTCAAAGGCTTGGGCAGGAAAGAGAGAACAATCAGAGAACAAGGAGGGCTTCATCTCTGATTTTTGCTCCAAACAAGCTTATTCCCACCTTCTTGCCCACTTCTCTACCTCACCAGAATCCATAGCTCTGGCCAGTACTGGAGTCTTTACTGTACTCTGGCCAGTACAGACTCTTCTCCCCTGTGGTTGGTTCACTCAGTATGACATAACTCACCCTCACCGTGTCCGCAGGCAGAGAGGTGGCAGCAGCCAGTTTTCCACGGGCCACTGAATCAGGATACTGCCCACGCTGGAACTCTGCAGAGATGGAGGCTCACACAGCAAGGGCACAGGGAGGGAGCAAGACGTGGCCTCACTCTCCACCTGATATAAACCTAAACTACCTTCCCAAGCAGGAGCTACCTGCAGCCTGAACTTCTTAGCCTTTGGCCACAGGTCTCAAGGCTGCTGCCCCCATGTCACACCAAGGACCCACTGCCCCATCATCCACTGTAGCCCAATACCTTTCTCCAATGCCTCTGCTTGGCCTGGGGAGAAGATAGTCCGATTCCGGTGGGTGGCCCCTGAGGTGGGACCTTGGGGATGCTCAGAGCCATGATGTGGAATGGAAAGAGCTGGAGCCAAGACAGCTGCAAAGGAGGACAATGTTTCGAGATGGTCTGTGTTGGTGATTTCTCTGATCATATGGGGTTCCTGAGTCCCTGGCACTGCAGCTAGGTGACAGCATGGGTACAAGAGGAGAGCCAAGGTGGTAAAGCATTCAATTACTTGGGGATTATTTCAGGGGCCCTTGATGGGAAATGTACTCAGTATATTGTTGTGTTTGGGGAAAATAGCAGAAGATATGGTCCCCATTTGCACAATCCCATAGAACATGAGGATACCCTGAGAAACTACGTATAAGGCAGAAGGAGGGTGTAGAAGACCCAGTCCTGCTTCTTCCTCAGCAGATCCTGTGAACCTACAAGTCTGGGGACCTAGATTTCATTCCATGACCTGCCAGCAACAGACTGATGACCTCTGGTATGTCACCCCACTTCTCTGAACTTCAATTTTTTTTCTGCCAAGAGAGAATAAAGCTCTTTACCAGGCCCTCCTTATTGGGTTGTTGAGAGGGTGATCCATAAAAGAATGAGAGCTGGGTGCGGTGGCACATGCCTGTAATTCTAGCAGCTTGGGAGGCTGAGGCAGGAGGATTGCAAGTTCAAACCAACCTCAGCAACTTAGCAAGGCCCTAAGCAACTTAGCAAGACCCTGTCTCAAAATAAAACACAAAAAGGGCTGGGGATGTGGCTCAGTGGTTAAGTGCCCCTAGGTTCAATCCCTAATACCAAAAAAAGAAAAAAAGAATGGTTGGGGCACAGAGCGGGAGCTGAGGCAGGAGGATCACAGGTTCAAAGCCAGCCCCAGCAAAAGTGAGGTGCTAAACAACTCGGTGAGACCCTGTTTCTAAATAAAATACAAAATAGGGCTGGGGATGTGGCTCAGTAGTTGAGTGCCCCTGAGTTCAATCCCCAGTATAAAACACACACACACACACACACAGTGTTTTAAGAGCCATAAAATACTGAGGTTTTGGTTCTGATTATCCCTGAGGGGCAACTCCAAGCCTACCTGATGACCTGAGCTGTGGCCAGGGCAGTCCTTGGTTTTCCTGTAGCACCCTCAGGACTCGATTGATGGAGGAGACCTGGAAGTGTTGGGGTGTTGAGTGAGGAGATAATGTACAGACCCAGGACTGCATCTGAGGATAGCCCCCTAGTATGCCTTCTCTCTCCACCCACACCTCATTCCCAAGGGCAGCTTCCTCTCTCTCCCCATGCTTTTGTCTCATCTCTCTCGCAAACCATCACTTTTCAAAAGAGCAAGTTATGGGTCAGAATATGCAAGGACCCCACCCCCAGCTTGGGATTGAGTTGCCAATAAAAAGGGATCTTGAGCTCCCCGAACAAAAGCCTGTTTGCCAGCCCCAGTGCAGGGATGGGGGTCACTTACACTGGGAGTCTTGTCCTGCGTGCAAAGCCCTTCAGCACAAAGCTGACGTTGGATCTCCCAAGCAAAGAGAGCCGGATACTGGTCTTTAAGCTGGGCAATTCGAGCCACCACAGGGGGTGTGGCCAGACGTGGCTTGCTTCCCCCAATACCCTTGGGCTCCAAGATACCTGTGCGGTAGTAACGCCCTAGAATCTTGCTCACACAGCCATTTGATACCTGAATCAGGTGAAAAGCAAGGATAACTAAGACATGATGGGCAGAAGGAGGGTGAGTGACCCTGGGATGGAAGGAGGCTACAAAGCAAAGCAAGACTTACTGGACCAGATTTGAGAGTCCTGCATTTTTTAGGAACACACTTATGTTCCTAAAGCTCCCCTTACCAATCAAAAGGGTCTTATAGGAGGTAGCCCAAGCCCAAAGACCCTCAGAGTCTGTAACAACTTCAGACTCTTGTCTTCAGAGGGGCTTTCTCTCACTAATTCATGCCTCACCATTGGGTGAAGGTTCTGGCATTACCTTAAGGCTCCGTGAGATATCACAGGGTCGCATACCGCTGACTGCTAGCTGCACGATCTGCTGCCGGGTGTCCAGAGGCAGGGGCCGACCATTCACAAAAAGTCCCCCCAGCTGATTCATGCTGCTGATCCCTGGGCATGAGAAGGAAGCACCCATACGTTTCCTCTTCCCACCTTGGCAGAGAGTCTCTCAGATCCCTCCTGCCTGTCTTGCCACCATAGAGTAAATCTGGTCCCAGGAGACCTCTCCTCTCCTGATCCCAGGGACCTCAAAACATGCCACTCTTCTTGGAAGCTGGCTCATGGGTGAATCTTTGCTCTTTGACCAAATCTTAACTCAGGAGAATCTTGTACTGACTCTCCTGAGTTAAGCAAAGCAGGGTGGAACAGAGAGAAAATGACTGGAAAAAACTTCTTCCAGAACATTGGCCAAGGGCAGATGAAATCATCTTGATAAAAGCAAAGTCCTGAACCACTACTCCGCTGTCTCTGAACGTCCTCCTCCCCATTCTTCTCATTTTTTTTAAAGTTGTAGATGGACACAATACATTTATTTTATTTATTTATTTTTATGTGGTGCTGAGGATCGAATCCAGTGCCTCACACATGTGACGACCGTTCTGTTACTGAGCTACAACCCCAGCCCCGTTCTTCCAATTTCTCTCAGGCTTCTTACCATCCTGCTGCATGCTCCAGGCTGACCCTCCCTGCAGGAAGACAGGAAGCCAACTTGGAAGATTGGGGAGTCCTTCTGGGAGCTTCTATTCCTATTTTGAGGCTGGGTCTGCAAATAATAGGGGGTTATCTGGATAAGGTCTTTTTGAAATTTTGCTTGAAATGGTTTGGGATGTAATGTTTTGTGATAGAAGGTCAGGTTTCAAAAATTTGCCTGTAGGTTGACTCAAATCATAGCATTAGAATTCTCTTTACTTAGCCAGGCATGGTGGCACACACCTGTAATCTCAGCAGTTTGGGAGGCTGAGACAGGAGGAATACCAGATCAAAGCTAGCCTCAGCAACAGCAAGGCACTAAGCAACTCCATGAGACCCTGTCTCTAAATAAAATACAAAATAGGGCTGGGGATGTGGCTCAGTGGTTGAATGCCCCTGAGTTCAATCCCCAGTACTTCCACTCAAAAAAAAAAAAAAAAAAAAGAATTTTTTTAACTTAAACTCTTATGCAATGAAAATCATAGGATTGGCTGAGGACTGGATCTTTTTGGATAAGAAAGAATGAAAAAAATCTCATTTCCTGAATATCCATTACAGAAATTTGGGGAGGTTGAAAGCGATGATACTTCCCAATACTCCAGCTTTCTCTTTTCAAAACAGGCAACTCTAGTCTCTGGGTACTCATTAGTCTTCCCAGCCCCTGGCAAAAACACTTGAGCCATAGACCCCTGAGTCCCCAAGTTCAGGGCTTCACTTTCACTACCAGGCAGTCCTGGATTAATTCTCCAAACCACCAGGCAAATGTTTCCTTCAGAGCACTTTGCGGGAAAGGCTTGCTCCTGTTTTTTCATATCTTCTAAGAAGCTCTGGGGAAATGTCAGGCTCAGCTCTGCCCCACCAGGCAGTGAGCTCTGGTCCCACGCATTGGAAGTCATGATGAACAATACTGGTTATAACTTCTCATAGAAAATGCACTCTTAGCAGATTCTAATCTGTTGAAGTTGTTGGTTCCTGTTAACCCTGAAGAGTCTAGATCTCACAGTGGAACTTCACCTTCAGAGATGACTTTTCTGGGATCAGATATTCATTCATTAAACTAATACTTCTTGAACATAGAGAAGGGAGGGAGAGAGCTGTCTGCTGACAACCATCCTGAGCACAAGAGAGTCTCTGGGCAAGGGACATAAGCCATAGGCCACCATGTCTTTTTACTTTCATCATCCATTAATAATTAATGGAAGTCAAAGCTATTTTCTCCTCCTCCTCCTCTTCTTCTTTTTTCTTGAGACAGGGTCTCACTAAGTTGCTTAGACTGCCCTTGAACTTGCAAATCCTCCTGCCTCAGCCCCCCAGGTCTCAGGGATTACAGGCACTATACTCAGCTGAAACTGCTTCTTTTCATGCCTGGAATCATGGCTGGGATGGAGGTGATGCTTGGAAACAGTTTACACATGAAACTTTCCTGTAATAAGCATGCCATCTAAGCCCAGTTAACTCATCTGCAACTATTTACTGAATAAGGTCATAAGCATGAGCACATTGTTGGTCGTTCAGTAGGAAGGCAGTAAAAAGAAAAGGGGCAAGATTTATTCTCCCCAAGAGATTACCATGCAGCAGAGAAAGGAGACTAGCAAGGGTGAAAGAACAAATTATAAAGAGTATGGAATTCAGTCCCTATTGTTTTAAGTTCAGTAGCTAAATTAACTTATTTTTCTAAGTAGGTAGAGATACACTCCCCCTCCAGTTCTCATCTTCCCACAGGGTTGGGAAGGCAGGCAGAGGTTTTTCCAAAGAAAACAGAGGCACAAATTGGGTTTTCCACAAATCAGGGGCCACTCAGAGTAAGATTCAAGTTTTAGAAGCCAGTTCCTTGCCAGAAATCAAAATCTCTGGCTCCTAATCCTGAGACTCTTTGCCCCTACTCCTGCTTCATGTTTATCTAGTTGCCACCAAAGAAATGGAGAGAAGAGAGTCAAGCTGGGACTGTGAAGGGCAATGCCAGGACAGGAGGATGAGGGCACAGAATTTTAGCTAAACTCTCAATCCTTAACAGGGCTCTCTCTTCCTAGGTGACCTAGAGCTCAAAGCAGCTGTAGGAATGCAGAATCAATATTAAAATCTAAATGATCTCCAGACCAAAAAGAATCATGCCCCAAATTACAAACAGAAACCCCACTTCCAACAGCCTTCTCATACATGCCCAACATTCTCAATGACTTGTCTAAAAAAAATAACAAGATGGGAAAGCAGGATAGAGGGTTGAAACAGAGGGAGGGTGAATAGCTGCAAGAACAGAGAAGAGTTAGAATTGGGTTTGGCCACACAAAGACATGGAGACAGCATGGGAGGCAGAGCAGACAATGAGCCTGCAGGTGAGCTACCTGGGTGGAGGAAATCAGGTGAGAGCTCCGGTGGGAGGTCTAGGTATCCTGTCCTGGGCTCCAGAGACCCCTGCAGGCTCCAGGGATGCTGGTGGGCTGATCCTGGTAACAGCTCCACTTTTCTCCTGCTTCAGTCCTACCAGGGGGTCCAGAGCTACAAAGAGCCTGTGCTCAGGAGCAGAGGGCAGCCTTCTGGGAACAGCCAGTGATGTCACAGGCCATGAGCAGAGGAGAGAGGAGGAGGGAGGTGTGCTTGGGGCTGAATGACATTGGCCCTGAGGCAGGGCAAACCACAGCCAATGACCCACTGTGTCCTTCTGTGGGAGTCCTCAGAGCCCACCTTAGGTCCACCTACCAACCTGAAGCAGGTACAGAGCCATTCTCATGCAGGCCCCCTGACCCCAGAGTGCTCCCATGCAGGGATCAGCACCCCTGAAGAACATGAAGAACATGGAAAATGGGGAACTTCAGACTGGGTGGCCAAAGTTTTAAATGCATAGAAGCACAAAGGAGTCTGCCAGAAACACTGATATAGCTCCTGGCCAGAATGTACATGCCTGGGCTTTGGGGCCAACACCTGGGTCATGTGTGTATTTCTATAAAAGATAAATGGGTATAAACACAAAATGAGTTGGCTCTGAGAGAAAGAGGGTGGATGGAGAGCACGTGTCTCATAGCACAAGTTCTCTCCAGAGAGTGTTCTCACCAGTGCTCCAGCTGGCTGCTTGACTGAGATGACACCAAGGATGAGTTCTTTCATGGAAACAGGGGGATCCTGGACTTCAGAGCATTGAAAACCATAGTGGTGGTGAGAATGAGCCTCCGAGAGTTAGAGATGCATGCAGGGTGCTAATGAGGAGGCATGGGACCTGTTTTTTCCTTCTTCCTTCTTCGCATTCTATCAGGCTCTGTCTCATGAGGAATTTGGTGCCTTTAGATTCTCAGTCATTAATGATAACAAGCATCTCACAAAAGACACCATAGGTTATCTGGGTCACAGTTGGAATGAGGGCACCAGTGGCTGGGTAGGTTGTCCCTATGGAGTAAGTGTGTTGCTGGAAGTGAACATAGCCTCCAGCGATTGAAAGTTTTGTTGCTATCATTGTCTTGGGCAGATCCCTGCTGGGTGTGCAGAAGCCAACATGCAAAGCCCTCTGGGTTCATTCCACACTTCAGATCTTGTGATTCCATTGTAGAAATCAGACTGAAATAAGCAGGGTATAGGGCAATAAGACTAGAACCAGAAGTCAGAGAAGGGAAGAATGGATCTTATTAGTTACTGCTTTGGGTTTGAGGGGGTAGGAGTAGGTATGGTACATTCATCTTGATCCTAGGGCTGGTAACTCTTGTTCTCAAAGGCCAAATGTATCCCAGAAGTGGTTTTCCACCTTACCCTAACACATACTCCCCTCCTCTTCCAGTCTCCACCAGCATCCTCAGGCTGGTCCAGAGCTCTGGAGCACAGGGAAGACTGTAGCAGGTGGTTTCAGCACTGTGAGAAGGACAGCACATGCCCAGTGAAAGCAGAGCCCATTCCATCTCAGGGCAGCTAGGAACTGCTGGTCACTCTACTTAGTCATGCCTTAGTGAAAGAAGGTCCCCAGAAAGACATAGGGTAACCCTATTCTTAGTCCCCCTTTTCTGCCCATACCTTCCCCCCTGAATCTGCCCCTGCATCTGGAGGCTCAAGGCTCATGTCCTGACTGGCTATTCCCAGAGACAGCTGCATAAGGGTGGAGATAGGGGTGTCAGGGGGGAGAAAGGACAAGCCCTGGCAGATGGTGGTGGCAGCGATTTCCCCCATAAACTACCCTCTCCCTCCGCCTTTATGGCTGGCTCTCGGGTCTGAACAAACAGAAGCTTTCGACCCAGAGGTGATGGGGGGAGGGAAAAGAGGAAAAGGGCCCTGGCTGGGGGCCTAGCAAGCCTAAAGGCTCCACAGCTCAGCCCTCTGCCCAGCGCACCAGACTGTTTGAGAAGCAAATATATGCCTTCACTGTCTGACTCTCTCAACTGCCCCCACCGGGTTTGGGGCTAATTGTCCCTCATTAGCTAGGCCCAGGCCCTAAGCTGCTGTCAGCCCCCGCCATCTGCTCACAATTATACATTAACTCAGAGGTCTTGCCACCCGCCAGCCAGTCTGTGCGCCCCTCTCCTGAGCCAGCCCTGGCCATTCCAGCCTGTCCCTCACCCCAGAGGCAGAGCCCTAATCCATGGCTTCTTCTGCCCTTGGAAGCTTCTGGTACAAAGACTCATGGCTGTGGAAAAAGTCCTCCCCTCAGGAGAGAGGTAATTGGAGTTCTTCTGATTTCCTCTCGGGTCTAGAAGGTGAGCTAAGCCCGTGCGTAAAGCTGGAGAAGATAGGGCGCGGCTGGCGCAGAGACCTGCTGACTTTCCTCTGACACCTATTGGGGGAGGTGACACCAGTTCCAGGCTGTTTCTCCTCTCCCTATGGTGACTTTTTGTAGGCTGCGAAGTCCCAACCTCCATCTTCCCTCTTCCCAGAGAGCCCCATCTTATTCTAGTCTTCAGCCTTCCAGAGCGCACAAGTCACCTATCCAAAACCACTCTCTGGCAGCTAGTACCTCCCATTGTAAAGTCCAGGTGATTCCCTTGCTACAAAAACACAGGGATTC